AGAAAAAAAATAAAAAAATATGTTTTTTTTTTTGGGGGGGGGGGGGAATGGTGGTTTCACTTAAATATTATATTTCAAACTCGTGACATGTGTTTAACTTATACATTACACATTGCACTCTTGTCACTGGACCGATATCCTAGCTAAATCATCTACTTCTATATAGATTTTGGGGCAAAAGATTATGTCCTATCAAAAGGATTATGATGGGATAACCATGATTTTTCTATCTTTTACGGTAGATCTCGAATTCTAGTTTTTGTATGAAAAGTTTTATATTAGGAAGAACTTCCTCTTAGTTTGGCCTTGCGATATACATTTGAATTAATTGGAATTCAATACAACTCACAAATATGCACCTTTCAAACATATTTTTAATTTCTTACTCCGACTAGTGCAACTTTTTTTCTCGACCAATTTGAATTCCATTTCATTATTGATTTTAAGTTAAGTAGCTAAATGCTGGCTCTGAATAACCAGCCCAACAATAAGCTCAATTGTTCCATAACTTGCTCCTCCATATGGGAAGTATAGATAGAAAGGCAGATCGAAAAGGAGCTCGAGAATTAAACTTGTTCTACTTTGATATAGGCATTGTAACCGTAAATAAAAATAACAATTATTCGGTCAATTGCTCTTATCATGATATTGAATATCGAACATAAACTCGAAAAAAAAATTGTCCTTTTGTAGAAGCAAATATTCCCTTTCATTTCAACCATTTACTTTGACAATTGGCAAGTAGTGCCGTCCTTGTTTACTTATTTTCCCAAAATTCTCTTTGTTTTTTTTTCTTCTCTTTTAATAATTAAAAGTTATGTGTCTCCACTCTTCAATTCTCTTCATTCTTTTTTGTTTTTATATAAAATAATTTTTTTGTAATTTTGACTAATTTTTAATCACATAAACTGATCAAAATTCCAACAGTTTAATTATTATAATATATACTTTATTATCCTTTAATTTTTTTTAGTTTCGTGGGCACCCACCATTTTTAGCCGTCCAATATATTAAAGGGTTGGTGATTAGTCAATTTTTTCTAGTTGATTTGGAGTTAATTAAGTTAAAATTATTCTTGATTATTCAATTATGTAATGGTTAAAATTATTTTTTGTTGGTTATAAAGGAATATATTGGTTGTAACTAATCCAGTATGCCTTTTTAAGTAATGGATTAATGGCAAAAATATAGCATGAGTTATTGCTATTCTATTTTTAATAAAGTGATATTTTTTTCTTTTTAAATTTTTATAAATGTTCGTAATTATTATTATTTGATAGAGAGCAACTTTCACATATAGCAAACATAAAAATCATATTTGTATGTTATAGCTATAGTTTGCATAATTGCGCTTCATAACAAATTTTATGTTTGCTATGGAGCTTTTGATTTGTATAGTTCGTTAGATACATCCAATTTTATACAAATTGTTCAGTTTTGTATAAATTCATTTATACATTGTAATTTGTATAATAAGATCTGTATTTGTATAATTATAAGTGTATAGGATGAAAATATATGTATTTGTATTTGTATATACACTTTTCTCTCGCTTTTATACAAACACAAAACACATTTTATACCGAAATGTATAAAATGACTAATTGTATACCGAAAATGGCTAATTGTATACTGAATCAGATGGCAAAAAAAAAGAGATGTTTGCTGCGAATTACAAATAAAATAAAGACATAATACATAAATATGATCCTTAACTTGGGTTTAGCGGACAACTATACCCTCCAACTTTGAATGTGCACAAGTAGGCACTTAAACTTGTATAAAATTGAACAAGTAGACACATTTGCCTACATGGCATAATACACATAGGATGTCATGTAGGACGTGAAATTGCCATGTAGGATGAATGTGTCTATTTGTTCAATTTTATACAAGTTTAAGTGCCTATTTATGTACACCCAAAGTTAAAGGTCATAGTTGCGAGCTGACGCCAAGTTAAAGGTCATGTTTATTTATTATGCCTAAAATAAATTATGGCTATAGCATTTAATTTGAATTAACAGTTTTCTATTTCATACAATTTTCCCTTTAATAGAACCAACTCTAGATCTCTACCATTTACCTAATTAATCAAGGTATAATAAATTTTTTAAAAGTGATATATATATAAATATAATTTATGTGACACATTTCGTTTTTCGAGAGTCATGACCGAAAATTTGCGCATGAAATCTTCAATTTTTTTGAAATAAAATCTATATATTTGTGAACTACGTAAAAAAGCACTACAAGTCGCAATAATTGACAAATCAAAATATTTATAAGGTATATGGAAAATTTACAATCGAAGATAAACTTGTTAGAATCTCAAAATCCGAAATGTGTCACATAAATTGGGACGGAGAGAGTAATTCTTTACGTTAATGATATAATTGGACATAATTTCTATAAAAAAAAAACCCGAATCTCCAATGGAAACTTCCATCAAGATTTTTTTTTGTTTTTTTTGTTTTGTATTGATGGGATGTGGTAGAATTTTAAGTACGAACACATAAAATTCAGATCCTGAATCCGCTTATGATACTAGGTCTTCTTGATTTGTTTATAGGCTATAAGTTTGATATGCACTAATTGCTATTATTGATAAGTCAAAAGTGTATAGAGACAACATTTAAGGACAAATAAACTAAACCACCACAATCATATTAGCCACTCTTCCAATTTTTAAAAGTCAAAATCTGGCCCTCTTTGATAATTTCTCCACACTACAAAAAGCCAATTGCCCACTCTTTTCCATTGCAAAAATATTCAAGAAATTAACTTCTTTCTCATTTTCTTGTACACAAAAATGCTAGGCAAGAAGTTTGGTTCAATGAAGAAATTAGCCAAAAAGGCTAAGGTTATTAGATCACCTAGTGATAATTCTATTCACCATGATCAATCACAACATCTTGAATATTTACTTGTTAAGGATGATCATGATCATGATGATCAAGATCAAGAGTATCAAGGGGTTAGTCCAACAAGTGCTAAATCATCAAAAAAGATGGGGACATTTGCAGTGTATGTAGGGGAAGAAAGAGAACGATTCGCGGTGCCAACGAGCTATCTTTCACATCCATTGTTCAAAATTTTGTTAGAGAAGACATATAATGAGTTTGGTTTTGAGCAAACAAATGGACTTGTGGTTCCATGTAGTGTTGCTGCTTTTCAAGAAGTGGTCAACGCTGTGGAGTGTTGCAATGGGAAGTTTGATTTTGGTGGCTTGGTTGAGGAATTTCTATAATTAGGTCGATATTATTCAGGGTCGTATCTGACCTTGATTCAGAAGAATCGAATTAGTATTGTTGCTTTTTACCACTTTTCTAGCGTGAGGATACAACAACAACAACAACGTACAACATTTCAATCTCGAACAAGTTGAAATCAACTACTTTTCTAGGTAGAGTGAAAAATAGCATTTGGTGAAATAGATTCAAGGATTAAATCATATCTTAAGGAGGTAATTTACAATTTAAGTCTTAGTTACTTTTGTACCAAAGAGATAGTGTAAATTATTACACCTTTAATATCCTAGGTAAGCTTCCTTTTGTTTTTTCCCATGAGGGGAAATCAATTGAGAGAAGTAAATCTTGTTATTTATATTTCTCTTTAATTAATGTCAACTAGCTAAATTGTAAATTTTAAGTGACAAGAATTGAAAGAGAAATGTAGTTGTTAATTATTTACTTTTTGCCTTTTCAATTACATTAAGACCATTTTGAGAATGTTCATCTTACTATAACAACTACTAGTATATATACTATATATGCCTCATTCTTAAACTTAAGTAGTTTGAGCTCGTTCACATAGTCAGTTTCAAAGTCGGATATAAAAGAGAGTTGGGGTAAGCTAATTAACTAAGGATGTACATCTCTATCATTTTAATCTTTCTCTTCACCTTGTTTTCAATTAGCAATGTGTGTAGTTAATCATAGTTATCAAGTCAAAAGGGTTTCTAAATAGTCAAAATGGATGATTGGTAGTTTGATTATCATCAAGAGGTGCATGCATGTTATACAATTATTTAATTTTGACTTGGTCAAAAATTAGATACTGAACATAGTGGTAACCACATTAACCAAAAAACAAAAAAAAGTACTTGGCTGCATGTTTGTTGAAGTAAGCAGCATTTTAGTAGTTAGGTGATAAATTAGAGCCATAAATGACTCATGGAATGTTTTCGAAATTGTAATTTTCGAAAGAGTTTATGTTATGTGCACTGTCAGTATATCAATCACATTAAGTGAATAGAAGAGTAACCTGCTATAATCAGTTAAATTTTGACAAGATGATGTAAAATTTCGTTACATCGTCAATGGCCCACACACTTCAACTTGGAGTTGATAAACTCAGCATTTTAAAACAAGCAGAAAAAGAACAAGAACTTGAAACTTCAATGTAAAAAACAAGCTGTTTGTAGGAAATTTATTGCATTTTCATTGAACATGATCAGTGGGGAAACATCATGTTTGTTTTAGTAATATACTAGCAGTCAACAAGGATTTTTTTCATTTCACCAATGAGCTCCTGCATTTGTTCCCTAGTATGCAAGGGGAAGGGATAAACACATGCACAATCCAACTGTCCGTCCCTAATGGTGTCGAATATGGCAATAGAAGGGCCTACCCCATGCACGGATGCACACCCGATGAAGTCTTCTAATCCGATTTCTTGATGCACTGTGCTGGAGGTATCAATCACAGGGTCTTCAAACACAGAGATAAGAGAAGTCCTTAGTGAAGAGGATGGAGTTAAGCCGGGATTATCAATGGCCCTGCACATGAGGAAATTCAGGTCTCCCATGTCTGTGAAATGCTTGTTATTGTTCTTGGCGTTGATAAAAGATGTGTAACTTCTCTTTGCTAGCTCCCATAAATCATCTCCTCCCTTTACGTCATGCGTGTTGAGGATGGCAGAATGATAAAAGCCTGCTTGACATAGGTCATCATTTTAATATGCTCTGTTCAGTATACATCTTTAGTAGGCGTTTGGCCATGCGATACCATATCACGATATGGTGTCATGAGATGGAATCAGCATTTGGACATGCGATTTTACGCTGATTCCATATCATGAGAGGTGATACCATATTCTCCAAAAACCATGATATGGAATCACATGGTGATTCCATATCATGATTTGAGATATTTTAATACAATAATTGATCCATGAGTTTATATTTTGTTAAAACAACCCTACATTTATATCTACTAACCATTTGTTTCATATGTAAATAAAATTTATAATCACATCATTACTTTTTAAAATTTATTATTCTCACCAATATAAAATTTATTATTACTTTAAATTTGGTGAATATAAATGATAAAGTAGAAATTCATTTGGTGAATATAA